TGGTTCCCAAATGTCTTTGCCGGAGGCGGAATTGCCCCGCCCTTGTGAGTCCTGCCTAAGCAGTCTGCTCGGGTTTGCTCTCAGGAGTTTTTGTTCCCTCCAAGCTCTCGGTACAGCTTTGGAGGATCAGGGTGAAAATGGTGGCCTCCCAATCTCCGCCCAGAGGAGCTGAGAACTCGGGGCCCTGCTCCTCAGTGTGCCCCCAGAGAAAAACAGTCACTCCCGTGTCCCCGGTCTCCGGCCGCACTCCGTGCTCACCCGGCCTGTGACCACGCATTTCTATCTCTGGCACCTGACCCCGTGTGGAGTCTCCAAACCCAGCAGATCCCTGCGGTGCGCTTGCGTACCGCTCCTCCCCGGGGAGGAAGGGGAGTCTCCCCGGCTCTGCCGCTTATTGGGTCCCTGCTGGAGGAGCAGTGGTCCGACTGGGCCGCAGATCACAGTTTATGGCAACCCCAAGCTGAGAGCCCGCGCCTCGGCTCCGTCTCTGCAGCCGGCTTCCCTGCTCCGATACCTGGGAGCTCTGCCGCACTCAGGCACCCCGGTCTTTTTGTGACCCCTAGGGTCCCACCCCTAGCTTAGCCACTGGATCGATGTCCCTCAGCGGAGCCGACTTCTAAAAGTTCCGATTTTGTGCTCCGCGGCTCTATCACTTGCCAGAAGCGGCCGACGGAGGCCCCCTCCCCCGCCGTCTATCCTCCCGAATATCGCCTCGGATTCACTTCGCACGTCCTACCTTCCAGAAAGTGGTCGCTTTTCTGTTCAGAGTGTTGTTACTATTCTTATCTTCGATCTCCTGTTGAGTTCGTTGGTGTTCAGAATGGTTTGATCCCTATTCAGCTGAATTCCTGAGACCAGACGAAATCCAGGTCTCCTACTCCTCCACCATCTTGCTCCGCCCCCCTCCCATGCTCTTTTTACAACATGACTGTGTTAGTCGTTCCATTGACAAAGACCCTATCCTCAAACCTGGGTGAGTCTGTGACTGCAGAGAAAGTGACACTACATGCCTTCTGAGGATAGATCACAAAAGGCAATGCAGCGTTCACCTATTCTCCTGGGCTGCCCCGAGGAAGCCGAAGCAGGCTTTGAGTCTTTCCAGATGGTGCTCTAGACATCACAGAGCAGAGACAAGCTATCCTACTGTGCCTTTTCAGAATTCCTGGCCCACAGAATCCATGAGCATAATAAAATGCTTTAATCACATATAAAATGATTTATATCACTATATTTGGGTTGTCCGTTATGCAGTAGTAGCGACTGAAACAAAGACTTTCTCTGCTTTGTCTTCACTTGCAATGGGAGCCAAAAGAAAGCATCAGATGGTTGCATCTTGACTTTTCAACATCCATGAAACTCTAAGGGGGTTTAAACAGGGCTGACTTTCTTTTGTCAGCTATATTTCCAAAGATCACACCTGTAGCAATTTTCTGTGGTTCCTTCCGGAAAGCCTGATATAGAGGAAAGGCGATGGGCTCCAGAAGCCTGTACAGATCTGGGTTTAAATCCAAGCTCTGCATCTTCTAGTTAAAGTAATTGATCTCCATTAGCCTCGGTTTACTCATGTACAAAATAAAAGGGTCATGATGCTTATTGTATATAGTTATCTCGAGCATCAGCCAGAAAACTCATATGAAGTACCTAGTGTAGTGCCTGGCACAATGGCAGAGGCTGCTAATGTGCCCCCTTTGCCAAGAGGTGGCTAATCGAACAAATGATTTAAAATCAATGCCATATAAATATAATAAACTTCTCACATCAAATCAAGTTTTTGTTGAGTTGCTTTCTGGTGAAGCCAGAATCCGCCAGTCTTGTCTGCGCAAGAAGCGCCAGAAGCCGCATGTGTAATGTCACCCAATGAACACTAGAGGCCGCCAAAACAGAAACCAAGTCAAAGTTCTCATGACTCCTGCCTGTTGCACCTCCCCATCCTGTTCTTTCTTGCACACTAAGCTTACATTTAATAGGCACTCAAGTGCCCCAATTAGACAAATCAGGTCGTTTTTGTAAGCAGCATCCCCCACACACGAAAATAAATTCCCAATGGATAACAGCAGTAAGTGTAAAAAAATGCAACTATAAAAACTAAAAAAAAAAAAAAAAAAAAGTTAATAGGTGTCTCGTTTGGGAGTGGTGAAGAAGTTTCGAAGCCCAAAAGCAGCAGAAAGGAAAATGCAAGTAGGTGTGACTATGTAAGAAGAAAACTATGTGCATAAAAAAGCCATAGACATAACTAAAAGATGATTGCCTGGAACAAATTTTGCAGCGACTGTGAGAAAGGAAAGTTAATATACTTAGCATAAAATAAACTCCTATAAATAAGATAAGGAAGATGAGTAGCTGCATAAAAAAAAATCGGCATTACATATAATTCCCAAAAGAAGAAAAAGAGGCCGACAGAATAAATGTGCTAATAATGAAGTCAATACAAATAAATACTACATGAGATTCCATGACTGGACTACCAATCACACCAAATTTCTTGACAAAGAGATTTAAGAAAGAATACTAATTGGTATTGGTAAAGGCACCTGTGAAATGGATGCATATGGGAATTATTTTTTTGAAGGATGATTTTTCAATATTTATAGCCTGAAATTTATTAACATGCTGAAGATCCAGTAATTATATTTTTAGGGATTTACTTTAGGGAGATAATTAGAAAGATGCATAAAGACTCACATCGAAGAAGCTCGGCTCAGGGTTTTGCTTTTTTTTTTTTTCCTTT